TTTTTTTTTTGGGGGGTGGGGGGGGGGGGGTTTATTAGGGAGAATTATGGTGCATAGTTATAGTACGGTGAATATTGCAACACAGTATTAGAAAAATGTACGACCGTCTAATTATGAAAAATTTAAAACTTTATGATAACATTTTAAATTTTTGGCTAAGCTTAAAAAAAGTAAACTGTCTAAAAATATATTTGGATAGTTTATATTACTTTTACTTATAAGTAAACTAATCGTTCCTATTATTTGTTATTGCTTGCTAATGTTGTTAAAGAATTATAATTTTCTGTCCAATAAAGTTTAGGGGCATTGTTGATGGAATTTGTCTAATTACTATTGTTTTGAAGTCATTATTTACAAGAACTTGAGAAAGAACTTTGGTCTTTACAGTATGAATTTGATGTCAAATTAACGAACGAGTATAGATGGAATCAAGATTGGTTACTACTTCTGCTCAAAATTTGACTAAGAAATATTGAGTCATATTAAATCTCAAGAGACGAGAATTTTGGATATTGGTTCAATGGGTCCACTGAGAGATTACATCAAAATCCTGTCACAGATTGCTGGAAAATTGGTTCCATAAGGATCTGTCAAAAGATTGCACAATGGTTGGATTTGACTTGTATTCAAATCCCTTTCAGTTTAATTTGAATACTATTTGAGATCTGTATACCCAAATTTACGTAGATTTATTTATTTATTTTGTATTAACTAAAATACTACAATTACTTGGAATTCATGATGCTATGTTGTTGATTTCTAGTCATGTTCACTATCTTGTAAATACAATTAAATGCCATGATAATTAATCTCTTTTTAGATCTTTCAAATAAAGCCTCAAGTTGACGTTCAAGTATTCTAACTTGCCAAGGAATTCTGTATCATTGGTTGCAATCTGCTGAAGTGCTTCACAACGATTTGAAGTTTTCTTGTTATAGTTTTCCTAAGACAGATGCAATTGTTGTTTTATTATTATTGTCATCACATCCTTTCTAAAATTGTTACTTATAAGTTCATCCTCTGTTTTAATACTAGTGGTTCTTGTGCAACTTTCCTGCAGTACATGAATAGTTTGACTTACTTATCCAGTGAGGCTTTTTCCTCCATTCCGAGGGAGTTGGTACCCGAGTTACAGAGAATGCTTTCTGCAAATGAGGCTATCAGGCCGTCAGCCATGGATTTTACAGGTACAGATGGGGCACCTTCTGAATATTACAACTTCATGTATAGGATGTACTGATATATAAGGACAAAGGATTGTACAAGAAAACGCACATTAGATTTTTTCCTTCCCATTTCCTTTTTCAACCTTTTATTTATTTATTTATTTATTTTGGGTGAAGGGGGTTGTTATATGGCCTCTGTTGCTTTGCAAGGTGCAGTCCTATATGATCCTATGACAAGAAAAGTAGTGAGTTGGACAATTTTTAAGTTAGTGCAGCAATGGAGAGATGCTAATCTATATCAGATGGATCCATGCATGGATTCTAATGTAATGCTTATTTCTTTTAAGAACAAAAATGTTCGATAACTAGCAATTCAGCTGACTGCTACATACCATACTTGCAAAAACCAAAAATAAAATAAAAATAAAATAATGATCCTAGATATAATAAAAAAGTGACGTAATGATGAAGAAAATTTGTTTGCCAGTTTTTTAAGGTCTTGGCACCTCACTAGTAAATGTTTTAGGATCTTTCCTGATGAAGTCACTAAATTCATGGCCGAGCTTTTGTTTTGTGCATGCCCAGTTGGTCTCTAGGATGTGAAGGGCAAGAGCGACTTGCTGAAGCCTATAGCATTTAAGCCATGTACGGCTTGATTTGTCTAGTATTATCTTTTAGCTTTAGTATTAAGAGTACTCCCATGCTAAATTTTTTCTAAGTTGTCCCACTAACAATTACATGTCTTTCAACTGTGTTTTTCACCAAATATGTGTTCACTGTTTTCAGGCTCACCTTTTTTCCGGGAGGATACTAGGTTGCGTGCTCTCCGCTTCCTGGATCACATGCTTGTATGCAATTATTTTTTGCTTTTAGTTCTGTCATGCTCCTTTGGAGAAGTTACATGATGCAATTTTGGTTAAAATGGAATGTGAGATTACCTTTATTGCCTGCAGGAGAGAGATAACATGCAGAAATCAGAGTTTCTAAAAGCATTATCAGACATGTGGAAGGATTTTGACTCTCGTGTATTGCGGTATAAGGTTCGAGATCTTGCATTCCAATTTATGTGATTCTGCTTTACTGTCTTGCTGTAGACTATATGCTCTGATTTTGACTATTTTCCTCTACTTAAAAACATTTTGAACAATCTACATATGTAATCAAGTTAGGGATTTAATACAAGAATCCAATGTAATTATCTTCCTTGTCCTAACTCTAATAGTCTTGAGCTCATATCCCAGTAACCCTAGGAAGAATGATGTCTCAAGATTACATATTAATCCATTTCCCCAATTTCTGTTTTGATGGCTTTGATGATCCAATGGCTGTATTTTTAATGTGTAATAATTAGTCTAGTCATTATCTCGTATGAAGGTTTGGCAAATTGAACTCTTTTTGCTGACGAATGCAGGTTCTTCCCCCTCTGTGCGCAGAGCTTCGAAATTTGGTAATGCAGCCAGTGATCCTACCTATGGTTCTGACCATAGCAGAGTCTCAGGTAATTCGATTAGTTATCTTTGTGTTCTCAAAGTACCCTTGTCAAGTTATGGAGTTACATATCATCAGTTAAAATTACCATTTACCTACTTTTTTAAGCTTGGAGTTGATTTAACTCATTTTGTGTCTGCGCACATGCATTTCTGTATGTAGCACATGTCTTGATAGTTGATACTGTGAACTTCTTTCTCTAGACATGAATGTTAAAATATTCAGAGTTTGTTATCGATACTGGGGCTAAGTTTGCAATGCCTAATACCATGGTCATTAATATAGAAAATGCAAGACCCATGTACTGGGGAAGTAATCTTTTCTTCGATAAATAATTAATGATATTCTTGTCAATTGAATTCCTATACTTGCATTTGAAACGTCCCATGTATTGAGACAATTTGTCTACAAGACGTGTATATTATTTTCAAAGAGCTTATATTTGTTTTATGCATTCATGAAAATTTCTCTGTGCATATTGCTTGCTCGTTTTTATGTTTCAAGTTGAAGGTTATATTACTTCTCCCAGCTTTTTCTGTAATTTCATTGATCCTGGTTGTATTATGGGGTCCAAAACTTCTTAAAGTTCTCAAAAATGGGTTTTGGGTGAAAAGTATTGTCCATAATATACCATTTCATTGTATTATGCAATTAATAAGATAATGACGCAGCAGCATGTGTGCAAGTTTAATCAGTTGCAGTTTCTCTTTATTTTTAGAAGACTAATGTCACAGGAGGTTATGGTGGCATTTATGTAAACTACTGCAGGATAAAAACGATTTTGAGCAATCGACCTTACCATCTCTTGTTCCAGTCCTGGATATGGCTGTGGGTGAGACATTACTGCTACTTGTGAAGCATGCTGAGCTTATTATCAACAAGGTAACAGAAGTGGCTGTGCTGGATTGCCATTTATGTGTATTATAACTGTTATACACTTGATTTTATCTATTTGAGAAATAAGTATACCAAATAAATCTTTTCGTTTTCTCATGGGGTTTGAACATTCTAGTATCTTTTTTTACGATTCACCTCTTCCTACATTGCCCCTCTCTTTCAAACTGTTGAGGTCTTTGTAATTATGATGTTTCTGAATAATTATTATTCCTGTTACCAGTAACGATGAGGTTTCATACTAAAGTTCACGAGTTTACGTATTTGTTATAGTGGGGGCATTGTAAACCATGATGTAACTCTGCTTTTCATTTGCTTGGACTTGAGTATCAAAGAGGCCAAGAGAGAATTTTTTTGCTGTGTGCAATAACTTGGAGAGTGCCTTTTTTTTTTTTTTTTTTTCCTGATTTGGATAGCCTAGTTTTCTACTTTTGAGAGAAGTTCAATTGAAGGATTATGGTTTATGTTGTGGGGGAATTAAGAGAAACTCGAAGTCTGTACAAAAGAACTATTTGCTGGAATTTAAAGACAGAAAAAAGTACTAAAAGCTCCCTCTTATTTTGAATAAACTTGAATAATGAGTCATTTTTTGCAATCCCAGAGAAGTCCAATGAAATCAAGTCTTCACAACCACATGAGATCATTTTAATTTTTGCCTACTTTTACCTCTTCTAAGTTCTAACTTTAGATCATGGGGTTGCATTGCTCTCGTGAACCTGAGTTGCTTGAAGTCAAGATGCCATGAGACACCAACCACTTAGGTAGTCCTTTGCTCAATTTATCCTCAACTAGTTATACCTACACTTATTAGTGTATATCCATGTTTTTTAGTTTAACAATTCCACTATGACCACCTGTCCATCTTAACATCCTCAGTTTTGCTGCTTTAATTTTATGAAATTTTTTCCTTTAGCAGCCTAAAACTCATAGTATAAAGCATACCTGGTCTGATAACTGCCATGTGTTACTTATATTCTAACTTGTAGGTATCCTTTCGACTAGATTCATTTTATGTTAATCTTAACTGTGCGATCTGTAGTTATAGCTTAATTTGCTCTCTTGTGACAGACTAGTCAGGAGCACCTAATTTCTCATGTCCTGCCTATGTTCGCTCGAGCTTATGATGAAACCGATGCACGCTTGCAAGAGGAAGTTCTGAAAAAGACGGTTTTGCTTGCAAAGAAACTTGATGTTCAGGTGATCTCGAGCTGCTTCTTATTGGTGGTTCTTAAAAACGTGGAGTTGGTGAGACAGATCATATTAGGTTCAGTCATGATTTTTTGAGATTGTTGAAAAACCCAATTTTCTAAAAATTTTAAATAAATATAAACATAAGAGGCATAAGGCTTTCACAAAATAAAACTTGGAAGGAGGAAGTGGGTAGAAGATGAAGGATACGATTGAATGTTGTACATGATGGTAACTTGGTAAATTGGGCTATTCATGAAAAATTAAAATATATGATCAGTTGACAGGTCTAGGCATATGTGAGATTGATCACTATTTGGCTGAGGCCGAGGACCAATAACCAAATAGCAGAATATATAACATTATGGATAATCAATGATCCTTCTCTACTAGCTGTCCCTGCGTTGGAACTTAACACCCAGCATCCTTAATATCGGAAATTCCAATTTCTTTCTATGAAATGAGTACATTTCTCCCGAAATTTCTTGAAATGACCTGACAAATTTTGTGCTATTCATTTCACCCTCCTGACACGACATTATGATATACATGCCAAACCATTTATCTTATTTAACTTGATATTTCGGAGTATTTGATTGCATTGATCTACAGGTTGTAGTCTCTCCAAGTTTTCAGCAAAGTCCTTTTTGTCAAATGTACCTTATCCGTAATCTTCACTTACATATATTAATTCTCGGCCTTGATAATATTTGGTCAAGTGTGCTGTGTATTATTTTGATATATTACTAAATTGCACATTTTCTGTGTAACCTTTCCTGCAGTTAGTGAAACAAGCAATTTTGCCCCGTGTTCATGGCTTGGCTCTTAAAACAACCATTGCTGCGGTATGTTTTCCTTGCTTCATGTGTTGACTGCCCAGCTTTCATGCTACAGTTTCTTGAAACAAGAGTAACTTTAGGAAGTTATATGTTATTCTATTAAACTTGTGTTCATTTTTATGAGAGACAGCAATGTTCAGTCAAAACAACTTTTTCCATTTTTCCTTTTTATTTGTTTCATTTCCATAAAACTGGGTACACCCTGGAGTGAATTAGTCAGTGTAAACTCTAAGGTCGAAGCTTTGCTTTTGTTGGCAGGTGAGAGTGAATGCTTTATTATGTTTAGGTGATATGGTTCACATGCTGGGTAAGCATGGTGTTTTCGATATCTTGCAAACGATTCAACAATGTATTGCTGTTGATCGTTCNTACATTTACGAGCACCGGTTGGTAATCATTGTACAACCGGATTACGAATAACCCGCCGGATCCCGAACGTCACCGTCCCGCGTTGTTGGGCTACTCCGACGCCCCTTTGAATCGCTCGTTTAGACCGTCCGCGTGTCTTAGCGTGTTGGACATTCGCCCACGCAAGCGCGGGTGGGACCGGCATCTGTTGGCGCACTTTTTGGGGTCAACAGATTGGCGCCGTCTGTGGGAAACCATACCATAACCACGAGCAACCTTGTGGTAGAAGCTTACTAAAAAAACATTTGGGCAACCCCCCTTGAAAAAGGATTTGTTCTTGAAAAAGAACAGGAGGAACCCCTATCACTTAGAGAAATCTAAGTCTGATAAAAGAAAAATGAGTTCTAATGAAGATACTCCCCCGAGGAGGGTAAGAGAAAGTACGAATGTGCCTCCCCAGCCTGCTGTCCTAGCAGCTCGGCAGAGGCCCTACCACCACCAAAGGAGAGGTGGGATGCGTGCGACAGCACGACTATCAAGAGAAATGGCTACCATGGCAGCCAACATGAGGGATATAGCCAACCAAAACTTGGCCATGAGGGAACTCATGGCCTAAATGCAAGGCCAGGGAGGCTTCCCCATTCCTCCATACGCCCCCCGTGGGCACTATCAGTAAGAGGACGAGGTCCAGAGTCATAGGGCTGCCTCGCCAGACTATGGCCGAGGTGAAAGCTCGTTCGAGAGGGAAGTGGGAGTCGACATTTCCTCCAACTTTGCATCTAGCCGACCCACCGAGGTCCAAATACGCCATGATGACTTCCTACCTCCATATGAGCAAGACCCAAGACATAGAAGAGCAGGAAGTGTTTTTGACAGAATCAGCCTTGCCGAGCCGAGGCCCAGTCAACAGCAGCCTCGGACGAGGCCACAGCCTCCACCTCCGATGCCCCAGCAGCCGGAGAGAAGGCATGAAAATGCCCCCCCGTGCTGTCGCGCCTAGAAGTAGGCCGCAGAGGAGGGAGGAAGAGGTTACGAACCGGCCCGGACCCTCTCACCAACAACCGAGGTACGAGGCCGAAGACAATGATTCTGATGAGCAGCAGAGGTCCTGTGACTACCAGATGAACCAAGCCGAGAATGAGAACTCCGGCCAAGCTCTGGCCACCACAACTCTGAACGCGGTTCCTACTTTGGCATATGAGGATGTCAGCCCAACTGCTGACCCACATCAGATGGAGGCCCAGCGGGGACCCCGTAGAGGGAGAGGCCGAGGCCGAGGTTTTGCACCTAGAAATAGGTCCAATCCGAACCTCCCAAGATAATATTTGCACCACAGGTCCTACGGGCACGACACCACGGATTGCAGACTATGCACACCGCCCCCGGCAGGAACCCGCCAGAGAAAGACATGACTCGCCCCAGGCGAACAGGCCCCCGTCCAGGCACGACAACTGACATGGGCGTGAGGCGGCCGCTCCTCATCGAAGGGATGTATCCCCAAGGTGAAGAGAGCAAGACACAGAGAGGCCCAGGGAAGGGCGTAGACACCGAAGAAACAGGCAAGCTCAAGATGAGGCCCCTATCCACGAGATAGATACCATATTTGGAGGCCCTTATGTTGGCAGCGAAACACGGAACGCCAAAAGAAATTATGCTAGGGAGACCAAGCACCCCCCTCTGACAAGCTACATTGTGGATAGTAGCTCTCGAAGAAACCAAGTACCACCCATTGTCTTCACCCAGGAAGACGCCGAAGGAGTTCATTACCCCCACTGCGATGCGCTGGTGGTGAGAGCTGTCATAGCCCGAAATGGGCTCAAACGAATGCTAGTCGACAACGGTAGCTCCGTCAACATCTTATTCGGGTCCGTCTTTGACAAAATGATATTGGACCACCAGTTGACACCCACCACTACTCCATTGTACGGATTTACCGGAGATAGCATCACTCCGAGGGGAAAGATAACACTGGCAGTAGAGATGGGATCTCCTCAAACTACGATGAACTTTATGGAGTTCCTCGTAGTTGACAGCCGGTCGGCTTACCACGGAGTCTTAGGTAGACCGGCCCTAAAGGAATTAGGAGCAATCACCTCCATCCACCACCTCTGCATGAAATTCCCAACGGAAAACTGGGTGGCAACGGTGAAGGGCGACCAGAGAGGTTCGCGAGAGTGCTATCTGAGCTCCATTAACAAGGTAGAGCCCCGGGACGTCCACGTGATCATGGGTGATGTGGTCATGGCGGATGTCCCAGGTGACGCTCCCGCCGGCCAGGAAGATGTTGATATGATTGACGCACCACCTCTTCAGGAGGCGCTAATCGTTGATGAACTCGACCCCCGCATAATGGAACATGACCCTCAAGCGTCCCCTGTAGAGGAACTTGAGAGCTTCTCAGCCGACCCCCGAGATCCATCAAAGATGTTGAAGATAGGCAGGGGCTTATCCAACGTTTTGAGAGAAAAGATCAAGGAATTCCTAGGCAAGAACCTCGACGTCTTCGCCTGGAGACATGAGGACATGGTGGGCATAGACCCCAAGGTCAGCTGCCACCACTTGAAAATCGATCCTAATTTCGCCCCGCATAGACAAAAAAGGAGAGCTCTCAACCCTGAGAGGTATGAGGCCTTAAAGGAAGAGGTTCAGAAGCTCATCCAAAATGGCTTCATCAGGGAGTCCACCTATCCGAGGTGGGTCTCCAACCCGGTCTTGGTTAAGAAATATAATGGCAAATGAAGGGTATGCATCGACTTTACAAACCTCAATAGAGCTTGCCCGAAAGACAGCTTTTCGCTTCCAAGGATTGACCAATTGGTGGACTCCACGGCTGGGCATGAGTTATTGAGCTTCATGGATGCATACTCCGGCTACAACCACATGCCTCCCTTTGGCCTTGCTGAACGCCAAGGGGAGAAGCCCCAACATGGCTGCACCATCTACCATGTCTGGGATGCGTCGTCACCTCGGAGGAGAGGCTCGGGACCCACCTCTGGGCCACCTCGCTTGAACTCCGAGGCACTAGCACATGCCTCCTTTTGGCCTTGCTGAACGCCAAGGGGAGAAGCCCCAACATGGCTGCACCATCCACCATGTCTGGGATGCGTCGTCACCTCTGAGGAGAGGCTCGGGACCCACTTCTAGGCCACCTCGCTTGAACTCCGAGGCGCTAGCACATGCCTCCTTTTGGCCTTGCTGAATTCCAAGGGGAGAAGCCCCAACATGGCTGCACCATCCACCATATCTGGGATACGTCGTCACCTCGGAGGAGAGGCTCGGGACCCACCTCTGGGCTACCTCGCTTGAACTCTGAGGCGCTAGCACATGCCTCCTTTTGGCCTTACTGAACGCCAAAGGGAGAAGCCCCAACATGGCTGCACCATCCACCATGTCTGGGATACGTCGTCACCTCGAAGGAGAGGCTCGGGACCCACCTCTGGGCCACCTCGCTTGAACTCCGAGGTGCTAGCACATGCCTCCTTTTGGCCTTACTGAATGCCAAGGGGAGAAGCCCCAAAATGGCTGCACCATCCACCATGTCTGGGATGCGTCGTCACCTCGGAGGAGAGGCTCGGGACCCACCTATGGGCCACCTCGCTTGAATTCCGAGGCGATAGCACATGCCTCCCTTTGGCCTTGCTAAACGTCGAGGGGAGAAGCCACAACTGCTACAGTCCGGGGCTCACACTGTTCATCTCCTTAAGTCATGTTAATTTGCTTAAGTCCGAGGTTCGCACAGTTCAGTCACTCAAGTTATGTTCGTTTATTTCAGTCCGAGGCTCACAAAGTTGATTGATTGGAACCAAGAACAACAATGAAAGAAGAAAGACATTATATTGATATTTCAAGGAAGATTACAAAGGAGGGCCTCTGGCCATTACATCCGAAATACTGAAAAGTAAAACCTAGTCTATGCCTGGCTAGATGACGGAGGCGCCTCAGCACTTTGGGCTTCGGCAACTTGGGCATCAGTAGTTGCTTCCTCTGCCTCAGCACTTGGGGCTTCGGCATCAACTTCTCCATCACCCTGGACCTCCTCAGCTGGGGTCTGAGGTACCTCATCCACAAATTCGGACCTAAGTTGAGCCAGGTCCAAATTGGGATACAGCTCCTCTGCCCACTCCAGCACCTCGGCTTCCTCTTCACCATTCAGCATCAAAGCCTCAGAGGTTCGGTTCCTCAACCACCTCGGCTTCTCCTCTTCGCCATTCAGCATCAAAGCCTCGCAGGTTCGGTTCCTCAACCACCTCGGCTTCCTCTTCACCGCCTCGCAGGTTCGGTTCCTCCACCACCTCGGCTTCCTCTTCACCGCCTCGCAGGTTCGGTTCCTCCACCACCTCGGCTTCCTCTTCACCGCCTCGCAGGTTCGGTTCCTCCACCACCTCGGCTTCCTCTTCACCGCCTCGCAGGTTCGGTTCCTCCACCACCTCGGCTTCCTCTTCACCGCCTCGCAGGTTCGGTTCCTCCACCACCTCGGCTTCCTCTTCACCGCCTCGCAGGTTCGGTTCCTCCACCACCTCGGCTTCCTCTTCACCGCCTCGCAGGTTCGGTTCCTCCACCACCTCGGCTTCCTCTTCACCGCCTCGCAGGTTCGGTTCCTCCACCACCTCGGCTTCCTCTTCACCGCCTCGCAGGTTCGGTTCCTCCACCACCTCGGCTTCCTCTTCACCGCCTCGCAGGTTCGGTTCCTCCACCACCTCGGCTTCCTCTTCACCGCCTCGTAGGTTCGGTTCCTCAACCACCTCGGCTTCTCCTCTTCGCCATTCAGCATCAAAGCCTCGCAGGTTCGGTTCCTCAACCACCTCGGCTTCCTCTTCACCATTGAGCATCAAAGCCTCGCAGGTTCGGTTCCTCAACCACCTCGGCTTCTTCTTCACCATTCAGCATCAAAGCCTCGCAGGTTCAGTTCCTCAACCACCTCGGCTTCCTCTTCACCATTCAGCATCAAAGCCTCGCAGGTTCGGTTCCTCAACCACCTCGGCTTCCTCTTCACCGCCTCGTAGGTTCGGTTCCTCAACCACCTCGGCTTTCTCTTCACCATTCATCATCAAAGCCTCGCAGGTTCGGTTCCTCAACCACCTCGGCTTCTCCTCTTCGCCATTCAGCATCAAAGCCTCGCAGGTTCGGTTCCTCAAACCACCTCGGCTTCTCTTCACCACTCAGCATCAAAACCTCGCGATTCGGCTCTCACCCACCTCGGCTCATCTTCAGAGTTCAAACACCTCGCCTACTTCATCGTTCACCCACAGCGACACTTCTCAAACTCCAACCATGATATAAATATCTATACTTGGACTTCGGGGACTATTATTCGGGGTTAAAAAATTCTTTCAATTTTTACTCCATTAAAGTCCACGCATAACATAAATGAATATACTTGAACTTGGGGGACTATTGTTGCGTGTTGTCACACCTGGCCAACCTACCTGGGACAATGGCCCACTCATGGCGACCTACATGGCATTCCTACCGAGGTGGCACACAATGCCGAGGTGGGCTACATCCGAACTACTTGAGCCGAAATCCATCTGCCGAGGCTCCTCTTGTCCGAGGCCCGTTGATCGAGGCCTACGAACCGAAGCCAGGCTCTGCTGTAACCTGTTGAGAGCAGCTGAGGCCCTCAAGTGGAAGTATCATGACAAATGGCCGAAACCCCCAAGCTGATGCGTGAGCCTCTGAACCACAAGGAAACATCCTCC